AAAAAAAAAAAAAAAAGAGGAGGATTGGCAGATGTTAGCACAGGGCTGATCTTCCTCACACACAAAAAAAAATTTGATGAGACCCAGTGTTGGTATGGTACATAGGGGAAAAGGCCATTGAAAGCATTATGGAGATCCGTTTGGCAATGTCTATCAATATTTAAATACATATATCCTTTGACAGATAGAGTAATTTCCCTTCTCAAAATTTATTCTACAAATACACACAAGCACAATGTGTTATTTGTAAAAGAAAAACTGATAATATCCCGAATGTCAGTCAATAGGGGACTGATTAAATAAATCATGGTACATCCATACCTTGGAATATAATACATTTCTTTAAAAAAATAAGAAAGATCTATGTACTGATATAGAAAAGGGTCTTGAGATAACTGTAAAAGAAAAGTTCTAATCCTATAGAATAGTATTAGAAAAGGCATACATAAGAAACTGCTAATAGTGATTGCTTCTAGAGAGTGGAACTATTTTCCTTATCTAGGAGTATGTATTAATTACAGTCATGATAATTTTTAAAAATTTTTCAAAAGAAAAAAACAAACACTTCCAGAAGTAGAATTGTCAAAGGGAATGTATGTTTTTCACATAGTTGTAAGTTTAGACTGTTCCTTACTGTCTCCTATTGTAAAATACTGTTTTTGAGTTGGGATATTAATAGTGATTTCTTGTATAACTGAGTACAGAGAGATAACAAATGTATGCTACTTAATGTCACACATATTACCTTAAACAAATTAAGTATTTTAACAGAAAATTAATTTGTCAGAAATAAAAAATACCTACTCCTCTTACCTGCCATGGATCCAGCCATTAATCTGTGCACATGACCAGAAACTCCCAGCTTTGTTGTAATTAACTAGAAACCAAAAACATCAAATTAAACAGATATTTTTTAAATGTTGTCCCTTTTACTGTTTAATAATGAAGACATTTCAAAAGAGTTACAGAACCAGTAAAAAGAAAATCAGTATTAAATGTAAGTGAAGTGAATACAACTATATAAAGTGTTATATCACATCATAAGGAGGTCAGGTGTTTCTTCTGTAGCCTCTGCTCTGATTTTGCACTTTTACAGAAGCAATCTAGCTTAGAATTGTCAAATATACTATACTACACATTGATGACCATGAATACTTAAAGTGTGAAAAGGAGTAGTAGGAATAAAATGCTACTATAGACAATGAAGTCTTGATATACTGATGGCCTCAATTCTATCTGACTGACTAGCTTAGAATGTTGTTCCCATCTCCATTACCTACTTTTCATTATAAGATACACTATGAAATTTAACATACTTAAGCCCTTTCTGTGTTAAGATGTTTGAGACAATAAACTTTCAGTCTGCCAGAGAAGAGAAAATTAATCAATGAGTAGAGAAAAGCTGTTTAGCTTATAGCATTACTCAAAAACAGACCTGCACGATATGGTTTCATTATTTTATTTAATAAGAAAATCCAAAGCCACAATGTTCCTCTCCTACAACTGAGAAACAAAAAGCACATTAGAAAGCTATTAATATTTTATGGATTTATTATTGTCTACTTGAAGGATACTTTGGCTCTTCTTCATAAGTATAAACATAAAAAATTTACTCAAAAACGACTAGCAATTCTGGAATAGATAACACCAAAACCAAGTTATATTTACAAATTTAAACTATCACATCTTATTGCTTCGAAAGAACATTACTTTATCCATTCATCCAAAGTAACTTTAAAGGCCAAAGCAGGCACCGGCTGGTGGTGTAGCCGTTAAGTGCGCACGCTCCATTGCTGGCGGCCTGGGTTCAGATCCTGGGCACGCACTGACGCATCGCTTGTGAGGCCCCGCTGTGGCGGCGTCCCATATAAAGTGGAGGAAGATGGGCACGGATGTTAGCCCAGGGCCAATGTTCTTCAGCAAAAAAAAAGAAAGAAGGAAAGAAAGAAAGAAAGAAAAAGGAAAAAAAAGAGGAGGATTGGCACGGATGTTAGCTCAAGGCTCATCTTCCTCACAAAAAAAAAAAAAGGCCAAAGCAAATGCCTTGTCAACTAAGTATGATATTCAAGGACATAAAAGAGGAAAACAAGATAAAAGTTCAAGTACCGTTTTATAATGCTCAAACGCCATGAACTGGATTGCACCATAGGGAAAGATTCGAATCATCATTGCGCCATTCCCTTTATACAATCCAAGGTATCCCTCCTTTTGAGGAACAGCACGCAGTGTAGAAAATACTCCTATTTTTAGAAGAAAAATACTATTAAGACACAGAAAACTATCTAAATTCACATTTTCATGACAATAATAGGTAAAGATTACTATGCCATCATTTATGATGTAATTTTGCTTGAAGAATTACATAAATAGTAATTTCTGTATAACAGAAATTAAACCTACTTAAAATACATCATACGTCCAAATAGACATATCTCATGTAAAAATATAACACATATTACCGCAAGAACAGCTACAAATTATGGTAAATTATATTTATAATTATCACAAATTATATTAAACTATAGCAATCTAAAAAATATTAACAGAAATATATTCAAGGTCCAGATATTCATTGCAGATGATCAACTCCATCTGGAAGGATGAAGGAAAGTTTCCCAGACTGACCCAGATACATGTGTGGTTTGTTTACATAACGAAACTGCTAAGCAAAGGAAACTGCTAAGCAAAAGAAACAAACATAAAAAGTATCTATTAAAACTATTTAAATTGGGGGGCAAATTTTCATTATTAGGACACTTTAATTAGGAATACTGATAAACAAAGGCCTGAGTTCTGATCCTATATATGGATATGTTTATTAATGTTAATCACTAATCTATTTGCAGTACAGACTTCTCATAAACAAAGCACTACTTCCATTATTAAACTATTTATTTATTTATTTATTTATTTATTTTTGTGAGGAGATCAGCCCTGTGCTAACATCTGCCAATCCTCCTCTTTTTTTGCTGAGGAAGATCGGCCCTGGGCTAACATCCGTACCCACCTTCCTCCACTTTATATGGGACGCTGCCACAGCATGGCTTGCTAAGCAGTGCGTCGGTGCACACCCGGGATCCGAACCAGCAAACCCCGGGACGCCGCAGCAGAGCGCGCGCACTTCACCACTTGTGCCACCGGGCCGGCCCCCATTCTTAAACTATTTAAATTCAGCTTCCTTTCGAAATTTTCCAACAAAAATTTGATCAAATATGAAACTAAATCACTAGGCTCATTTCAAATTTTAGAATGCAACTAACCTTTTGATCCCTTCCCAGAAATTAAAATTATAGGTACTTATTAACATCCAAGAAAAGATATGTCCTAAAAGCATTTTTTTTTTTAAAGATTTTATTTATTTATTTTTTCCCCCCAAAGCCCCAGTAGATAGTTGTATGTCATAGCTGCACATCCTTCTAGTTGCTGTATGTGGGACTCGGCCTCAGGATGGACGGAGAAGTGGTGCCTCGGTGCGCGCCCGGGATCCGAACCCGGGCCACCAGCATCGGAGCGCATGCACTTAACCACCAAGCCACGGGGCCGGCCCCTAAAAGCATTTTTAACAACAGATATCCAAATGGACTAACAGTCTATTAAAAAAAAATTCTATTATATATATACAGCTGTGTATAATATATAAAATTCTCCCAAAATACATGAATAATTAAACTAAATCTATTCACTGAACCCCCCCCTCCAAAATTCTATTAAAGACGTCCTTTGCTGGAAGAGGGGACAAAGGTTAAGCCCTGTTTAATTTGATTCAAATGTGTTTGTAACAATTTAAGGGTAATCAGATTTAGAACAATGGCTACCTAGTAGAGACAGGAAGGATGATGATAAGGAAGAAGTACAGAGAAAGTTTCAACTGTACTGATAATGTTTGTTTCTGAAGCTCTGTGTGGTCCACATATGTTTATTACACTATTCTTTAAAACTCTTTATCACAAACATTTTAAGAGAAACCATAAATAGAAGTGAAAAAAATATAGTACTTTCAAAAAAGGAAATCCAGGAAACAAAGAGCAGGCGAGGGGGCTGGAGAGGACAGGATACAAAAAAGCACAATAAACAGAAAACATAAGATAAGAGTGAATAAATCAACGATCGCAAAAACAAAATTCGAATGACATAAATTCTGCTATTAAAAGCCAAACATTCTCAAATTCTCTTACAAGGCCATGTCTAATCACATGCTTTTTACAAAAATCTCATCTAAAACAAAATAACAGAGAAAGACAAGCAGATGAAGAATGGATGTTGGATGTTTTCAAACAGCTTTTAAATATCCATTGAGATAATTATATTGTTTTTCTCCTTCAATCTATGGTCTGTGCTATTTTTACTTTGGGAAATGAATTGAGATTTTCTTTTTTTATTTTTTTATTTTCTTTTTTTTTCCCCCAAAGCCCCAGTAGATAGTTGCATGTCATAGGTGCACATCCTTCTAGTTGCTGGATGTGGGACGCGGCCTCAGTGTGGCTGGAGAAGCGGTGTGTCGCTGCGCGCCCGGGATCCGAACCCGGGCCGCCAGCAGCGGAGCGCACGCACCTAACCGCTAAGCCACAGGACCAGCCCTGAGATTTTCTTTATGACATAACACTAGACCAATTTTTGCAAATGTTACAAGCATGTTTGGAAAGAATACGTATTCTCTATAGGTGCAAAGTCCCCTGTGTATCTGTTATGTCAAACTTGTGTGTTATTTAAATTCTTCTCTGTATCTTTACTTATTTATCAAGCTAGGATTAGAAGGAACAAACATTTGGTAAAATAAAAGCATATGCCTGTGTATGTATACATTAGCTCTAAAAGGAAATGGAAGAAACTTGTAAAAAATGCTTGATTCCAGGGCCGGCCCCGGGGCTTAGCGGTTAAGTGCGCGCGCTCCGCTGCTGGCGGCCCGGGTTCGGATCCCGGGCGTGCACCAACACACCGCTTCTCCAGCCATGCTGAGGCCGTGTCCCACATACAGCAAGTAGAAGGCTGTGCAACTATGACATACAACTATTTACTGGGGCTTTGGGGGAAAAAAATAAAAATAAATAAATAAATAAATAAAAAAAGCTTGATTCCAAGGAGGGAATAACAGAAGGAGAAAATGTTTGCTTTTGAACTTTTGGAATTATGAACTTGTGAAAATATTATACATTCAAAAAGTAAAAACAGGGGCCAGCTCAGTGGCGTAGTGGTTAAGTTCGCAAGCCTCGCTTTGGTGGCCCAGGGTTCACAGGTTTGAATCCCGGGCATGGACCAATGCACCGCTCATAAAGCCACGCTGTGGCAGGCGTCCCACATATAAAATAGAGGAAGATAGGCACAGATGTTAGCTCAGAGCCAATCTTCCTCCACAAAAAAGAGGAAGATTGGCAACAGATGTTAGCTCAGGGCCAATCCTCCTCACCAAAAATAAATAAATAAATAAATAAAATGTAAAAGCAACAAAATTAAAAGTAAAGATTTTTAAAGAATCCTATTATGATTCATCTACCTATTTTTATATCACATTTGACTGTAAAAAGGTAAATGGACGTCAAAGATTTTCAATAAAGTACAGAAAAAAATTCTTTACACTAACATTGTGAATTGGGGAAGGAGACATTCTAATTACACTCCTTCCTTTCATATGGCCACAATAATTTTGATTCAAAACAAAATGTCGTTTTTTACGCCTTGGAAGTAATGTCACACATTTTTTAAAAGAAGCTAAAGTAGAAGTTTTATTCAATAGCACATTTTATCTTTGACTGTGAAAATTCATGCTTAAAAAAAGCAAAATTTTAAAAACTGTCTTACTCATGCATATAAAAAGGGAAGTACCTAGAGTAAAATACCCAAAGACATTTTAAAAAGAAAATTAAAAGCCACCAATACCTTTTTTTTTTTGGCTTGTATATTTTAAAGATAGATAAAACTCCACATACTACACCATCGGGTAGCTCATTGTTGCACTCCAGGAATCACACTTCAAATTTTGCATGCCTTGTAGGGTACACTGTAACCCACGGCATGCAGCCCTGTAGAGCGTGACATCTAACACGGATATGTAATCTAATGATTACAAATCAGGAAACAAAACAAAATACAGCGGCATGGGGAGGAGGTTAAAGGAATAAAACAATCCTGCTCAGACATTCATATGTTGGGTCATTGTAAAACACCCCAAGATATTGGGTAATATAATTCATCTCCTTTCACCCTCAATTTAGACAACAAAAGAAAATAATCTCCTTCCTTTCCAGTTTTATATAATCTTTCTTCAATAAGTTCAAAGGTCTGATTCTTTCTATACATGAGCAGTACACTGTGAAGATACAGAATTCATTGCTGGACACAGAGATGGTAGCAATTTTTTTCTTTCAATTTTAAGTACAGACTTACTATTAAAAATATTGACAAGACAATGATCTATAATTAATATATAACATAAATAGCCACTCCATTTTTTGAGAAAAATCACATTTTAAAAACTCAATTGTAAAAATAATTGATTCTTATTCACTCTTTTAAACATCTTTCTTATACACTCACGCTACATAGATCACGCAGAGCACACATCATTTCTCTCTACATTAGTTTTTTTCTTTTAAGTCTTTCTCCCCTCTAATTGAAAAATATATGTTCAACATGTATTACAGGGCCGGCCCTGTGGCTTAGCGGTTGGGTGCGCGTGCTCCACTGCTGGCGGCCCGGAGTTTGGATCCCGGGCGCGCACCGACGCACCGCTTCTCCAGCCATGCTGAGGCTGCGTCCCACATGCAGCAGCTAGAAGGATGTGCAGCTATGACACACAACTATCTACTGGGGCTTTGGGGGAAAAAATAAATAAATAAATAAAATTAAACAAACAAACAAACATGTATTACAAATTAGCTTAGAGAAGAAAAATTTCCTGTAATCTCACCACTGAAAATTAACCACTAATGTTAATGTTTGTCCTTCCAGCCTTTTGTCTAAGCACATGTTTATTTACATAAAATGCAATATGATTAAACCATTTTGTAATTTTTTTCACTTAACTAATATATTATGAACATTGGTGATTGTTCCTAGACCAACACTGAACATTGTTCCTCGTCAGTTAATATTCTTTTACAATTTTTTAAATAACTGCACAATAGTCTAGAATAGATTTATTTATTTAAATAATATTATTTAACTTAGCCAATTCCCTATTACTGAACATTTTGGTTGGTTTTTGGGGGGCACATTTCTAATTATTTCCTTAAAATAACCTCCTAGAACCAGAATTGCACGGCCAAAGAGTATGTACCTTTCAAGACTTTTGAGGCATATTACCAAAATGCCTTTCAAAAAGACTATACAAAATTCTTACTCCCACCAATGATATATTATTAGTGTCCATGTTAATTAAATGACTGATTTTTATGTTTGTAAGGAACAATTAAGGGCTTGATATTTTTTCTAACAATGCAAGTTTATCCATATATACTAATTGCATTGGATTCTGCTTGCACTAAGATTTCTAGAAGGCATGTTTAACTCTTTAAAGGAATAGGGGCGGGCTGGCCCCGTGGCTTAGAGGTTAAGTGCACGCACTCCGCTGCTGGCGGCCTGGGTTCAGATCCCAGGCGCACACCCGACGCACCGCCTCTCCGGCCATGCTGAGGCCGCGTTCCACATACAGCAACTAGAAGGACGTGCAACTATGACATACAACTATCTACTGGGGCTTTGGGGGAAAAATAAATAAATAAATAAAATTAAAAAAAGAAAGAAAGAAAGGAATAGGGGCTGGCCCCGTGGCTTAGCGGTTAAGTGTGCATGCTCGCTGCTGGCGACCCAGGTTCAGATCCCGGGCGCGCACTGATGCACCGCTTGTCCGGCCCTGCTGAGGCAGCGTCCCATGTACAGCAACTAGAAGGATGTGCAACTATGATGTACAACTACCTACTGGGGCCTTGCGGACAAAAAGGGAAAAAAAGAGGAGGATTGGCAATAGACGTTAGCTCAGGGCCAGTCTTCCTCAGCGAAAAGAGGAGGATTGGCACGGATGTTAGCTCAGGGCTGATCTTCCTCACAAAAAAAAATAAAATAAAATAAAATAAAATAAGTAAAAAAAAAACTCTTTAAAGGAATAAACCTTATCTCCATCACTAATTGGATTTTTTTAAAAATCAGGCTGAGCTGTTAGGCGTGTCTGTAAAGGATGTGACTTGTTAATCCCAATAAACAAATAGTACTTACTTCAATGATTCAAAGATTTTTGTTTAGAGGATATCAGTACCCTAAAATGATAATACATAACCACTATTGCAAACGAAAAGATTAAACTGGATAAGAGATCCCTTGCAAAATTTGCCCCCAAACTTGAGACCCCCTTTTGTGTCTTCTTTCCACTATAATTCACAACTGGAAATCAAGCCAGGAGATGGATAATGTTTTCATTCATTTTTATCACAAGCATCTATTAACTCACCTAAATGTTTGTAATGGTGATTGTGAGCTTGTAATAAAACCTTTACTCGATCCAAAGGAGCAACTGTTGTTTTGGCACAGCATCCGGCAATACCTAAAAAATTTTTTAAAGGTCAGGAAGAAATTGCATACCATTTCTTTCCAGATGGAAATCATTATTTGTTCAGCCAGCACACCCTATGATCTCTAATTTGGTCTCCATGGGTAGAACTCCCCAGTAGCAGGGATATGCAGATGATTGGCCCCCATTCCCTGAAACTTAATAATTGAGCATGTCAGATGTAAAAGTAAGTTTGAAGAGTGTAAATCTACCCCTAATACCTGATGAACACTGGGAATCTTGTTAAATGTGGTTATGGAGACAGACACTTGAAGGTATTGACTCAACTGTAAGGCTCTGCTTTAAGTAACCTCCTCTTCTGGATGACTTCTTCATTGAAACAACCAACTTTTACCCATAAAATTCAGTCGTTCACTTATACATTCAGCAGCTATGTATTTGGTCCCTACCATATGCCATATGCAGACATGTGGATGACTAAAGCGCATACATGGGCTTTGGTATAGGTCAGAATTCAGGCCAGCTCTACGAGCTTGGCATGCTTCTAAGGCGATAACATATAAAGACTTTCTGCTATGTTGTTTGTGTCCTCCAAAAAATTCATGTTGAAAATTAATTCCCAATGTGATTGTATTTAGAGGAGGGGCTTTTAGGAGGTGATTAGGTCATGAGGGCTCTGCCCTCATGAATGGGATTAGTGCCCTTATAAAAGAGGCCCCAGAAAGACCCCTGGCCCCTTCCACCACGAGAAAACACAGCAGAAGGTGCCACGTATGAGGAAGCAAGTCCTCACCAGACACCGAATCTGCTGGCACCATGATTTTGGACTTCCCAGCTTCCAAAACTATGAGAAATAAATGTTTATTGTTTATAAGCCACCCAGATCATGATATTTTTGTTATAGCAGCCTAAACAGACTGACACTTTTGTAAAGTACCTTATATGTAGTGAGCACTCAATAAAATGAGTTGTTACTATCATAAAAAGATGGGTAAAAAGTCTTTGGGTATCTTTTTGGGCCAGCCCCGGTGGCCTAGTGGTTAAGTTCAGTGTGCTCTGCTTCAGTAGCCCAGGTTCGGTTCCTGGATGCAGACCTACACCGCTCATCTGTCAGTGGCCGTGCTGTGGTGGCGGCTCACATGCAAAAAGAGGAAGATTGGCAGGGGGTGTTAGCTCAGGGCAAATCTACCTCAGCACAAAAAAAAAGTCTTTGGTGTCTTTTTTATGCTTACATTAAGCTCTTCACCATTGCATATTCAATCCACAAGGTACAAGAGGACCAGGATTTTGTGGGTCTCCTTCTCTACTGCATCCCCAAAGACCAGTTCAGGGCCTGGCACATAACAGGCACTCAATAAATGTTTGTTGAATGAATAAATGTAGAGTCTTACTTTACAAATTTTTTAACATGTAAGACAAAATCACTCAAAGTCCATAGACATTTACTTAATAGATCAGCATGTAACTGATGTTAAAATCTCATATTCTGGGCCCGCCCTGTGGCTTAGCGGTTAAGTGCGCGCGCTCCACTGCTGGCGGCCCGGGTTTGGATCCTGGGCGTGCACCGACGCACTGCTTGTCCAGCCATGCTGAGGCCGTGTCCCACGTACAGCAACTAGAAGGATGTGCAGCTATGACATACAACTATCTACTGGGGCTTAGGGGGAAAAAATAAATAAATAAATAAAATTAAAAAAATAAAATAAAATCCATATTCTGAGATATCCATAAATAAAATGTCTTTTTGTACTCAAATATTAAATCCACATATTAGTTTCCATATCAAGCTTCTCTTATTTGAACTAATGGAAATAACCATCAGCTACCCAAAATTGAGGATAAACTAAAAATAATTTGCATTTGGGTATATTTGTCAGGGGTATACCCATATTTCCATGGGGTATATCAGAATATTTTGTTATATTATTACCTTCTCAGTTACTATGAATTAACCATATAAGGAAATTATTTAGAATGTGTTCAATAAGGAGTTTCCTTTAATAGTATCTTAACTTGCTTATCACATTACTTTATAGCTCAATTAATCATCACAACATTCATTGAGTTAGGTCAAGTAGCTTTTATCTTCCACTTGAGCAACTGAAGTTAAGATACTTGCTGAGGCCACTGCTAATCAATAATAATAGTTAACAAGTACTGAGTGTTTACTTTGTACCAGGTACTAGACTAAGAGATTTAACTGCAGGCACTGTGCCAAGGCTTTTCAGGTACTATCTCATTTAATTGTTACAACCTTCTGAGGTAGGTACTCTTATTTTCCCATTTAAAGGATGGGGAAACTGAGGCACAGGGAGATTAGGTGACTTGTCCAATGGTATTTTTTTTTTTTTTTTTTTTGGTGAGGAAGATCAGCCCTGTGCTAACATCTGCCAATCCTCCTCTCTTTTTGCTGAGGAAGACTGGCCCTGGGCTAACATCCGTGCCCACCTTCCTCCACTTTATATGGGACACCGCCACAGCATGGCTTGCCAAGCAGTGTGTCGGTGCACACCTGGGATCCGAACCGGCGAACCCTGGGCCGCCGCAGCAGAGCGCGCGCGCACTTAACTGCTTGTGCCACCGGGCCAGCCCCTTGCCTAAGGGTATTTTTTCATACCACTTGGACCAGGAACTCTTATACAGTCTTTAAAGTCATACACACTTCCCAAAAATTGGAAGCAGCACTTTACCGAAAGAGAGACACAGATGGACAATAAGAATATGAAAAGATGCTCAGCATCATTAGTCATCAGGGAAATGCAAAGTAAAACTAAATTAGATACCATTAAACACTATTAAAATGGAAAACAACATATGATCCAGCTACTCCACTGTTGGGTATTTATCCAAAGAACTTGAAAACACCAATTTGCAAAGGTACATGCACCCCTGTGTTCATTGCAGCGTTATTCACAATAGCCAAGACTTGGAAGCAACCTAAGTGCCCATCAAGGGACGAATGGATAAAGAAGCTGTGGTATATATACACAATGGAATACTACTCAGCCATAAGAAACGACGAAATCCAGCCATTTGTGACAACATGGATGGACATTGAGGGTATAATGCAAAGTGAAATAAGTCAGAGGGAGAAGGTCAAATACCGTATGATTTCCTTCATTAAGTAGTAGATAATAACAACAATAAACAAACACATAGGGACAGAGATTGGATTGGTGGTTACCAGAGGGGAAGGGGGGAGGGTGGAGGGTGAAAGGGATAATTCGGTACATGTGTGTGGTGATGGGTTGTAATTAGTATTTTGGTGGTGAACATGATGTAGTCCATGCAGAAATAGAAGTACAATGATGTACACCTGAAATTTTTGCAATGTTATAAACCAATGTTACTGCAATAAAAAAAAAAATAATAATAAAATAAAATAAAATGGAAAACAACACACACAAGCACATACACACATGCACACGCCCTGACAATACCAAGTGCTGACAAGATAATGGGGATATAAAATGGAACATACACTTTAGAAAACAGGTTGGGGGTGGCCTGGTGGTGTAGTGGTTAAGCATGCGTGCTCCGCTGTGGCAGCCCGGGGTTCGCAGGTTCGGATCCCGGTGTGCACCAACGCACCGCTTGTCAAGCCATTCTGTGGCAGTGTCCCATATAAAAAGTAGAGGAAGATGGGCACGGATGTTAGCCCAGGGCCAGTCTTCCTCAGCAAAAAAGAGGAAGATTGGCAAAAGATGTTAGCTCAGGGCTAATCTTCCTCACAAAAAAAGAAAGAAAGAAAGAAAGAAAACAGTTTGTCAGTTTCTTATAAAATAAACCTATGATACTCTTAAGATCCAGCAGCCCCTTCCTAGGTATTTACTCAGGAAAAAAGAGAACATATACCCACATAAAATCATGTATGCAACTTTTCATAACCACTTTATTCAAATGGCCAAAAACAAGGAAACAAAGCAAATTTTCACCAACAGATGAAACTGTGGTAAATCTATACAATGGAATACTACTGATAACAAAAAAGGAACACACTACTGATACACGCAACATGGATGAATCTAAAATGCATTTTGCTAAGTGAAGGAAACCAGTCTCAAAACACTACATACTGTATGATTACATTTATATAACATTCTGGAAAAGGCAAGATTAGAGAGACAGAAAACACAGATCCGTGGTTGCCAGCGGCTGGGAATGAGAGAAAAGGAATCACTACAAAGAGAAGTGGAAATATTTTGGGGTGATGAAACTATCCTATATCTTGACTGTAGCAGTCATTATACAACATGTTTGTCAAAACTCATTTAACTGTACATCTAAAAAGGGTGAATTTTACTGTATATAAATTAGACCTTAATAAATCTGATTTTAAAACAAAAAAAACTATGCAAAAACAAACAAAAAAACTATGCAAGCTTCTAAAAAAAATACACAGCTTAATCAAGATTCCTTTGTAGAGTTTCCTATACTTACTGTCTCCAATTCCTTTCCTCCTTTTAAAAGATTTTGTTTGGTAAAGTGTAAGATACATAGAGAAAAGTGCACAAATTGTTAAGTATACCACTTAATGAATTACTGCAAGGTGAATACACCCATGTAAGGACCACTCAAATCAAGAAATGTAACGTTACCAGCCTCCCAGAAGTCCTTCTCCCACACTCCCAAAATCACTATTTGCCTCTCCTTCTCAGAGACAACCAACAGCCTTCTGACTTCTAACATGAATTTAGTTTTACTGTTTCTGAACTTTATATAAACAAAATCACACAGTATGCACTGCTTTGTGTCTGGCTTCTTCTGTGCAATATTATGCCCATGAGATTCATCCACATTGTTGTGTGTGGCCGGAATTTATTCATTTCAGTGCTGCATAGCATTTCATTGTATGATTATACCATATTTTAGTTAAATATTCTAGTATTGAAGGATATTTGGGTTGCTTTTGGTTTTGAGCTATTGTGAATATCGCAGACAAGAATGGAAATATATATACTGGCATATACCTAGAAGTGGAACTGCTGAATCATAAGACACAGAAATGTTCAGCTTCACAGATAACTGCCCAACCAGTTCTCCAAAGTGGTTGTACCAGTTTACATTACTACCAGCAGCACATGAGGGTCCTGGTTGCTATCCTCACATACACGTTACCAAGACTCTACTGCAATGTCTAGTCAACATCACAAAATGCAACATGTCCAACACTGAATTCCTGATCTCCCCCCACAAGCATCATAAAAGTTGCTCCAGCTACAGCCTTCCCACTTCAATCAATGAGAGCTTCATCCTTTCAGCTGCTCAGACCAAAATGAGTCACTTTTGACTTCTCTTCCTTACCGCATCTCTAATCTGTCAGAAACTCCTATTTGTTCTTCCTATATCCAGATTATCACAATTTTTCACCCATATTTACACTCCTACAGTTATTCTCAACACAGCAGCCAAAGTGATCCTTTTGAAACATGTCATATCATGTCACTTTTCTGCTTAAGACTTGCAACAGCTCCCTTCTTCATTCCAAGTAAAAGTCAGAATCTCTACAATGGTTTGCAAGGCCCTTCATTTTCTGCCCCTCTTTACCTCTCTAACCTCCTTCCTCATCAACACCGCTTGGCTCCAGCCACATAGGTCTCACTGCTGTTCTTTGAACAGATGAAGCCCTCTCCTGCTTTGAAGCCTTTGCTTTAGCTTTTCTCTCCGCCTGACTTGCTCCTCCTTAGACATCAATGAGCTAAACTCCCTCATTTCTTCAAGCCTGCTCAAGTGTCATCTTCTCAATGAGACTTATCACAGCTATCCCATCTAATCCTGACCCACTTAGCCTCTCCATTTCCTTGCCCCATTCTCCTTTTTACTTCTTCCCATTTCATTCATCACCTTCTAACATACTATATAACTTACTTTTTCATTTTGTTTATTGTCTTTCTGCTCACAACTCCCCAACCAATGTAAACTCCAGGATCTTTGTTTTGTTCCCGGATGTACACTGAGCATGCAGCAAGCACTCAAACATTCCTTGTATAAATGAATGAATGTCCTTTTTATCAGCAGAACAAAATAATTAAATTCTTAATACTACTGCAGCCTACAGATACGATCTTTCTACAAGTCCTCGTAGAATTTTAAAAATTCCTAGGCTTAACAAATAATTAAGTGATGACAACCCAGATGATCAATTAAAAAAGGGTAGAGATTGAAACACCTCTTCATGGGAAGGCAGAAAAAATTTCTGAGAGACAGTACGAACCTTCTGGCTCTAGAATCACACCAATAGTAGTGCTGTACCAGCTACCTGCCAAGTAGCTATGGCACAGTTTGCTAGAATCATTGGAACCAGTTTTGGTTGTAGAGTTCTGCACAATTTCCCAGTCATCTTTAAAAAGCTGACCTCCATAATTTGTTTTCTTTTAAGTAAACAGCAAAATCCAATTCTACACTTGGTCACCTACGGTCTTTATAAAAGAAAGGGATGCCCAGCACGTTTCACTGAAACCCTGGGGTCTTTGTAAGGAACTCTCCTCTTTTCCCTGCTATCCACCCTTAAAGAATGGGTACCGGGTTCGGCCCTTCCACCTCCCCAGCCCTCCCCAACAGCTCGAGGCCCTTCCTCCCCAGGATCCTGCTGTCACTAGTCAATGATTATCAGAAAGCGGTTACAGCAAGTCAGGGCAAATATCTGGCAGAACACTGAAGCAGCCAGGGTCCAAGAATGTCATCGCGGCCCGACCTGCCTCTGCCACCCCGAGCGCGGCCGGGTCCTCTCGGCGGACACCCACCTCCGGCCAGGAAGGAGCGAAGCCAGTAGAAGTCTCGGCGGGCGGTGGGCCCTCCGGCTCCCGGCATCGCGGGAGGTGGGTCGGCCGCAGCCAGGGCCGCCGCCGCCGCCATCATGACCATGTCGAGAGCTTTGGTCACCAACTTACAAACCACGGGCCGGGGCCATGGCCAGAGCGGGCGGTGACAGGGCACCGACCGCCGCGCGGGCGGGGCGCAATGGCTCCCAGCGGCGCGGCGCGGCGCGGGCTGATGGCGTAGGCCAGGGGCGGGGCCTGGGTCACTGCCGAACAGGGAGTCCCTCGCGCCCGTCGCCTCCGCCGCTCAGTCTTCCCCCTACGTCCATGCTCCCAGCTTCGCTTTTCAGCCCCCTTGTGTTCAGACAGAAGAAGGAAAGTGTGGCCCGCGGGAAGGTCTCTCCGAAACCTATCGCCTCAGAAAGCTCTCTCCCGTCCATTGACTTGTATTGACGATTGACCTGTAACCACCCTTCGGGCTGTCTTCTGACCTCCCTAAGATGAGCACTTTCCAGAACCAACCTTTGGTTCCTCACTCTTCCTAGGAACCTCTGAAATTGCACCATCTTCCACTAAATCAGCTCTGCCTTCTCAGAGCTTCTCAGTGAACCTCAGTTTCTGCCCTCCCGAACCCCCTACTAAGCTTCCACTGCATCCCTACCACCTCTGCCAAAGAAATATTGCTAAAGCAGATTCTTCTTTCTTTGGGGCCCTATGAATTGCGCAAACATTTCTGCCTTGTCAGGCCTTTTCTGAATCTGTGCCTCTGCTTAGCTCTCAAATTCCATCGACCTCTACTCCCCACCAAACCCAAGTCTCTGCCATAAACTCTTAGGAACTTCCCAGTTTCTTCTCCCTGGCCCTACTGTATTGCAAGACTCTCTCTTACCCACCCCTTCCAGGCACTATTCTCTTACTGTGAGCCCCTCATCAATTCCAGCCTGGGCAAAATTCATGCCTCTTTGTAACCAAAGTTGTTCTGAACTTTCGTCCTCTCTTTCAGAAATTATCTATTATAATTTTCCTCAATACTTACTCCAACCTTCCCTATTACTGACGCTGGTCTCCTCTTTCTCTGTCTATGGATATGCCTCTGCAGGTGTTTTTAGCCACATTTAGTCACTAAAGATGAATCCAGATTTCAAATTTATTTTTTCCCGATGTTCCCAATTTTCAATTTTTACCAGAAAATACAGACCCGTATAATAACATCATTATTTATATTTTGCATGTCTAATGTGAACAATCAAAATCTCCCAAAAGTGGGGATAGTTGCACAATATTGTAAATGTAATTAATGCTACTGAATTTTACACTTAAAAAAGGTGAAAATGGTAAGTTTTATATGAAGTATATTTTATCACAATAAAAGAATACAAAAAAGAAATACTTGCTCCCTAAGGTTTTTTATACAACAGCAAAAGAGATACATCTATAATTTCATATTACATAACTAGCAAAACTGCCCCAGTTCCTAGTGCTAACATATATTTTTCCCCTGTCCTATAGCCTGTGCTGGTACATCTCTTCTCATCCATTTCCATTCCCAGTGAGATGCACCTTACAGGTTTAATTTATCACTTAATGGCCTCCAACTCCAAAACTCAATCCAGATCAAGGATGGAAAGTTGATATAAATGAGAACTGACAGGTTTAGTTATTTATTTTTTTTTAATAATTTTATTTATTTATTTTTTTCCCCCAAAGCCCCACTAGATAGTTGTATGTCATAGTTGCACATCCTTCTAGTTGCTGTATGTGAGACGGGCCTCAGCATGGCCGGAGAAGCGGTGCATTGGTGCCCGCCCAGGATCCGAACCAAGGCCGCCAGCAGCAGACTGCGGGCACTTAACTGCTAAGCCACTGGCTGGCCCAGGTTTAGTTATTTAAATATCCAATTATTTCTTCTCCATCTACTCAGCTGGTTACCACTAAACTATCCAACCTAGAGATGTTATAGTGTCCCAGGTCTCAGTCGTTGGGTCTTTTCTATAATTACACTCACTCTTGGAGATCTCACTCAACCTCGTAGTTTCTTTTTGTTGTTTTTTTTTTGTGAGGAAGATCAGCCCTGAGCTAACATCCACGCCAATCCTCCTCTTTTTGCTGAGGAAGACTGGCCCTGGGCTAACGTCTGTGCCCATCTTCCTCCACTTTATATGGGACACCACCACAGCATGGCCTGACAAGCGGGGCATCGGTGCGCGCCCCAACCCTGGGCCGCCAGCGGGGGAGCACACGCACTTAACCGCTAAGTCAAGAGGCCAGCGCCAAACCTCATAGTTTTAAATACCCTCTATATGCTGATAACTCCCAATCTCCAGCCCTTCCACTGACTCCCCAACTCTGTTGATTCATATTCCTAACATCTTCCCATCTGTATATATAATTGGCATCTATTTATCATATCCAAAACTAAATTCCTCATCTTCCTTCGAAAACATGCTACTGCTACAGCCTTCCCTCATTTCATTAAACAGCAACTCCATCTTCAGTCCCAAAACCTTGAGTAATTTCCTAATTAGTCTCCTTGCTTTCTCTTGCCCCCTACTGTCTAGTCTCAACATGGCAGCCAAAGCAATCCTTTAAAACCTAAAATAAATCTTGTCACTCCTTATCCCTAAACCCTTCAATGGCTTCCCATATCACTTAGAGAAATTGTTACGATGGTCTGGTGGTTTGCCATTATATCTCTGGCCTCAACTCCTAGGACTCCCTTCAGTCACACTGTTTCTTTCATTCCTCATATACATCAGGCATTCTCTCCTCAGGGCCTTTGCACATTGCTGTTCTTGCTGCCTGTACTGCTTTCCCCCTAGATATTTCGTGTAACTTCCTCCTTCTCTTCCCTCCTTCAGGTCTTTACCTAAATGTCACCTTCTCAGGGAGGCCTTTTCTGGCTGTGATATTTAAAATTACACCCACTCCACCCTCATCCCCACCAAAAGTCATTAACTCTTTTCTCTGCTTCAATTTTAATTTTTTCCATAGCACTTATCAGCATTACATATATATATAATATATAAGACATATTATATATAAAATGTTTTTATTATCAGTTTCTCCTGCTAGAATGTAAGCTCCCTGAAGGTAGGGATTATCTGTTTTCTTCATTGGATATGTCATTTGACACTGAATAGATGGTAAATGGTGGTAGATCTACTTAAAGACCAATCCTTTCTATCCCTGTCTTTCACTTTCAGAATATCTAGCACCTAGTATCCCGAGGCTAAAGAAGTGGGAAAAAACCAATCCCCTCCCTCAAAAAAAGTGCTATTTCATGGGAGGAAAGTGAACCTAATAGTAAAATAAATATAATACACAAATAGAAAGTGGGGATGCAGAGGAAAGATGGATCTTATTCGTCATCAGTCATCTGGGAAGGAAGTAATTGAACTGTGATTTGACATGGTAAGCGTGGGCCAAGGCAAACTCACATACATACATATGCGTGCACATACAAATAAGGAAACTCAACTTGTTCAAAGAACAAAGAATAGTGCAGTTTGGCTATCTCAAGATCCTTGATCCCTTCTCTGTGACTCCCCAACACTTGTATAGCAGACCACTGACCAATAACGTTAGAGAAGTAGGTCATGAACAGTTTTAATCTTGGGTTAAAGAGTTTAGACTTACTTCAGTGGATAAGAAGAAGCTAATGACAGCTATGTTTTAGAAAAATTAATCTGGAAGAGATGAATGGGATGATTGGGAAGGCAGATACTGACAAATCTGGCAGTAAGGAAGCTAGTTAGGAAGCTTTTGCAACAATCTAGGCAAGAGGGCTGGTGGGAGCATGAAAACATAGTGATCAAAAGGGAAATGGATGGAGGAGATGGCACCTGCTGGGCTTGCTAAGGAATTAGATATGGAGGGCAAAGCATAGGAAAAGTCAAAGCTACTGCAAAGGTTTTTGCTGGGGTGGTTAAGAGACTTGATGGTAACATTAACAGAAAAGGGAAGAGAGAAAGAGGAACTGGTTTAAAGCAAAGAAGGGAGGGCTGGCCCCGTGGCTTAGTGGTTAAGTGCACCAGCTCTGCTGCCGGCGGCCTGGGTTCAGATCCCGGCGTGCACCGACGCACCACTTCTCCGGCCATGCTGAGGCCGCATCCCGCATGCAGCAACTAGAAGGATGTGCAGCTATGACATACAACTATCTACTCGGGCTTTGGGGGAAAAATCAATCAATAAAAAAATAAAAATTATAAAAAAAGCAAAGAAGGGGGTTAGGGATGTTGGCACAAACAGTAAAGATGGTAAAAACATACAAAAGTATCAAAGGACAAAGGTTTGGCAAAGGTTTCTTTAAATATAGACAATCTATGACTACCATATAGACCATATCTAACAATAACCACCTAAAAAGGCTTCTTTGAAATCTTCCCCCAATCCCACACGTACCCTGACGTTTTGTAAAACAGGGAGGAATAGGTGTGCCATTTTAATAAACATTGTCATGGACCTTAGCTATCTTCACGTCTTCTACAAGGTAGTCTCTTTTAGACCACAGATCATTAACTTTTATTTACTTATATTTATCAGGCATAAGCATTATATATCACAGATGCCTTATTAATTTCAGTAACTTGGGGTCATTTATAATTTACCCCATATAGAACGTGTGATCTTTGCTCCTTTAGTATAGAATTTATTCATCGATAAAATTTAAAATATTTTAGATGCTATGCAACTTTACATGAAATTGGACATCTTCATTTTCTTTTATATGCATATAAAATATGGCATATATTTTTGTGTGCAGTGTATCAGAAGAAATGCCATAACAATTTCTGAAAAGATACACAAGAAACTGTCAGCAGTGATTACCTCTGGGCAATGGGATGGATGAAGGATGGGGGAGCTGTATCTTTCACTTTTCATTGTATGCTCTTTTATTTTTTTTATTTATTTACTTTTGTGTGTGTGAGGAAGATCAGCCCTGAGCTAACATCCATGCCAATCCTCCTCTTTTTGCTGAGGAAGGCCAGCCCTGAGCTAACATCTACTGCCAATCCTCCTCCTTTTTTTCCCTTTTTCTCCCCAAGGCCCCAGTAGATAGTTGTATGTCATAGTTGCACACCCTTCTAGTTGGTGTATGTGGGATGCCGCCTCAGCATGGCCGGACAAGTGGTGCATGGGTGCGCGCCCGGGGTCCGAACCTGGGCCACCAGTAGTGGAGCTCGTGCACTTAACTGCCAAGCC